CTTCTATAAATCTATTTATTTAGGTATTAGTTTTTAAAAAAACTTTCAAGGAATCAGTTATTTCACCATTTCCAAAAGAATGAAAACAGTGAAGACTCAGAAAATGTCAGGTAAACACATGAGTATTAGAAATATGGAGCAATGTATATTATTCTACATCAGAAATTTTTATAACTTTCATATGCAAGTCTTTTGTAACTTGTTTTTGTTAATGCATATATGTTGAAATTGACACACCCTAATAACCCCACATGTAACTCTGTTGACTCTCAATATAAAGGGAATTGACTTATTCCCTAATAACCCACTTCCGATTCTATTTACTGCTTCTCCTAAGTAAACTTTAGTTCCTAGAAGATGTTTCATGAGAAAAAGGGTTAATAAATAAATCTGAAAAACCCTGTATGCTTTGACTCCTGTTGGAGATTCAAAATGTACATTAATGTATTAAAGTCTGAGGGGTTCCGTAGGGAAAAGAAGAAAAGTCTACTTGTTTTGTCTAAACCAGCTCTTCCCACACACATATAACAATAAAACCCTTTCTTGGGGACAACCCACAGTACTTATTAGTAGAAAATGGGCTTCTAATTATATTTCCAGAACTGTCGTATAACACCTTGCATTTTGTACTAGATTAGTAATATCTCTACTTAGATGTTATTATTTTCAAATCTTTTAAAAAGGTAAAAACTTTTAAAAATCTTTGAAGCCTATCTATGTGGAGAATTCTCTTTTATACTTACCTTTTTATAATGCTTGTCACTTTCAGATCCATGATCTGTTGCTCTAAATGCTGTTTCTCCAGGTGAACCTTAAAGATAAATACGCAATCCTTTAAATTCTCCAGTGATGTCAATAGCCTAAGCTAAATTCAAAATTATGTCTAAGCAATTAAAAGGTAAAAGGGTTTTTAGAGCAACTCAGGTTCAAAGCATCAAATCACCTTTATTCTTATTTTAAGGAACATTACTGATAACCTATGTAGACAATTTTTTAAAATTATAGCAATTATAGCATGTATTTAACTTAACTATTTAAAAAAATATATAACTATTAATAAAATTACAATAAAAAGACAATCTTTGGTAAGGATTATTTTACATGAGAGTACTTATAGTTCACCCACATACCACTGCCACTACAGATCATGTATTAATATATTAATAACAGGAAAACAAATTTAAAATGTCAGCTATGACAGGGCAGATGAGACAAACTAAAATTACTTTTCATTTCAATTATCAAAAACAATTAAATCTATGTCAAGAAAATATTTTTGATAAGCAAATTTTCTTTTAATAGCTTTAATCTTATACATAACATATTTAAGAATTTAAGTTTTATCACAAAATAATTATTTTATTATTTCCACCTAAAGGATAATGAGTTTGCCTAACATAGTTCTGGGGTTTTAAAATTCAGCATAAGCAGCATTATAAATTTGGTCTGCAATTTTATTTGCAACTAGTTTATTAGAAGCATTTAAAAGGCATGTTAAGGTGAGCAAAAATGTCTGTTTACACACCTAACAAGAGAAGTAGGTCAGAAGCTCCTACGACTTCACTAACCAATTTGTGACCTGTGAAAAATCAGCAAAAGGGGAAATAGAAATGTAAAATTTAACAGGAATGAGCAAACAAAGGTGTCCGAGATCTCAGATTTATACCACGATAGGGCAGTAATAAGGCAAATATGCCAGAATTAATCTTAACAAATTCTACTCATTATGGTCCATCATAATTAAGTTTGTTTTAAAATCACCAAATTGGCTCTAACCAATCATGAAAAGCAAATACATAGGAAGTCTCATCTACTTGTCAAGAACAAGTGATATTTTCTCTCTCACTGACTAAAAGACTAGCATATTTAAGGTCTTCTAAATTTTAACTTGATTGGGCTAAACAAAGATTAAAACCACTGTATGACAAAACTTTGTGTTTATCTTTTTATATCTTTTCATTTGAAATAAATGTTTTAACTTAAAAGACAGGAATAAACAAAACAAATACATCTGTGTATTTTTCCTCTGTGGCTCCTAAAATATTAAATTAGATCAAACAAGTTCTCCCTTACCTGTAGTGAAAAAGTCCTTCAATAAGCTGAGGCTTTCAACAATCTTGTCAAAGTCAGGTGTTAATTTTGCAAGGTCTTCGGAATTAGGAAGGGCTTTTCTAATTTTCTCTGGAGAAGACAGAAACATATAAAAAGTCTCAAAAAAGAACCTGTGTCAGATATTATTCTAAGGGCTATAAAACTATTAACTTGTTTAACCCTCACAGCAACCCCGCAAAATTGCTACTAATATCAACCTCATTTACAGATGAGAAACTGGGGCACACAACAAGAAAGTGGGGCGGGCAGGAGCCAGGGTTCAAGCCCAGGCAATCTAGCTCCAGAATCCAGGTTCTCAGCTACTTCGCTCTGATACTGGCATATGTATCAAGTTGAAAAGCTCTTCTCGTGAATACTAGAAAAACAATTTTAAAGTGTGCTTTTCTTGCAAATACCTCTGTCAACAGAGCACAGCTTTATAAGTGCTGTGAGTAAAGTGCATGTAGAGATTAATTCCACCTCCACATAAACCGAAGCTGAGAAATCAGGCTACGTCTTAAAAAAAGGGACTGTGGAAAATATTTCATCAAAATTTTTTTTAAAAGATCACCATGAATTACTGGTAATCATAGCTATCAAATATACTTTTTTCTCATCTACCTATTTTAAACACGTGGTTAGTGGCCAATTAAGGAGAGAAATCATTCTGGGTACTAAGAGACTTTTAAGGAAGTTGGCTACAAAAAGTAGAGGTAACAAAGGTATCCAATCAAAAGGAGCTAGTTAGGTGGATCACAGTACATATGTTCTGGGCAACATTATATAATGCTGAAAATGATATTTAGAAAGTTTACTTGGCAGCATGGAAATGTTGACAAAATATGTTAGGTAGCCAAAAAAAAAAAAAAAAAGATACCAAATTGTATATTCATTATGACTATGTAATTTTTAAAAAGGAAACTAAAATGTTAAGCACATACACATATTATGTATCATTAAAAGAAAATGCTCTATTAGGAGCATAGTGGTAAGCTATGTTAAAGCTACTGGATACCTTTTTTGTACAAATTTTTTTTTGACATTCTATTACTTTTATCATTAAAATAAAACTGCTATGTATTAAACTCGTAAGTTAAGAAACTACCTTAACACAACTACATCTCTTTCTTAAAGAAAAGACCCAAAAAGGTATTTTAATGTTGATGATACAAACCAAAATCGATATACTCATCAATTTCCCAAACAATGTCAGGCACAATCCATTTATAGTCACTAAGGTCAGGTATCAGATCTTTCCACTGATCAAAAGTCTAAGAGATAAGAAAGTATGTCAATCAGATGCTCTGAATGCCATATTAAAATGCAAAGAAAATTATCTTATTTAATTAAAACACATCAATTAAGAGCAATGTACTATATTTGAAACTTTTTTTTTTTTTTTTTGAGACAGTCTCACTCTTTTGCCCGGCCTAGAGTACGTGCCGTGGCGTCAGCCTAGCT